GCATTTATTATGCCTTTATCTGATGAGCCGGTCTTCTCAAGCCTGACCCCTTGCGCTCTAAATGCCCCTACCTCTAAACCTTCCACTGTCTGAAGTACATGTAACATCAAGCAAACACACTGCTACTCTTTACTATTTCTTTTTTTAAATATATTTTTTATTGATTTCAGAGAGGAAGAGAGAGGGGACAAAAGATAAAAACATCAATGATGAGAGAGAATCATTGATCAGCTGCCTCCTGCACGCCCCCCACTGGGACCAAGCCTGCAACCCAGGCATGTGCCCTGACTGGGAATTGAACCTTGACCTCCTGGTTCCTAAATCCAGTCTCAACCACTGAGAAACACCAGCCGGGCTACTCTTTACTCTTTCAGCTGAAGCATGTATAATCCATGCTCTGAGCTGGCACATGTGTGGGACTGAATCAACAATTTCATTTTTCTCCTCCACTGCCCCTTAAAATGCATACTTGGATTCATCCGCCCTGCCCTCAGATGAACACTTGCGCAAGTACCATGACTTTTCTGCTCAAGCAACCACTTCAAAGTCCCCAAAGAACTAAAATGTGCAGTCTGAAAATAAAAGAAACTTCAACCTCATTATAACACTAAATCCTGCCCAACACCAGCTAGGTCCTGCCGCAACTGGTCCACTGCAGGGATTGGGGGACAGTTAACCTCTGTTCTCTATCTCCACTTTATGCCCAACTGCTGCAGCTGCTCACCCCTCTGAGATCAGAGCAAGCGGACAAGACTGTATTAACTGTTTTCACACTCTTTATGGGTGATTTAGTGATATTCATTGTCCTTCAACTGACTGCTCACTCCTACCATAGCTTCTAGATTTCTGGAAACTCTAGCTGCTGAGGTGCCCTTGCTCTTGGGCTGAATTTAGAGTGGCCTGAGGCTAGCCCCCTCTCCCACATGGCCCCACCTGGTCCTCAGGACATCCTCAGCATCCTTTATCCCCACAAACTCTGGGGAAGGAGGTGATCCTGCAGCCCAGGCCACCTCGTGAGCTCCAATGCAGGAAACACATGTACAGCTCAACTAGTGGTCCCACAATAGTCCCCCCCCCCACACACACACACACACATCAGGTTTGGGATAAAGGAAGGAACAAAAGATCCCTTTGAAGAAGTCCTCTCTCAATCTTCATATTCTTGAAATGACCAATGGTTTGTGAGTTATGAAAAAGTTCTCAAATATTTACACTGAAATTTCTACTTGGTGGCCTGGTACTTTCCTTTCAAATTTCACTGAACTTGAGTAAGTGTCTCAGTCAGAACTTTGATTTAGTACCCTATTTTTTATAAACACCAATGTTTAGAATAGCCTGTTAATTTCCAATTATTTTTGAAGTTCACTTTTCTCATATATCTCTTAAAACTGAGGAACTTGAGTATTGAAAGGGGCATTCAGAAACATCAAATTCAACATAACCAATGCAGTTTGGAATCCTCTCCCAGTCCTGACAGAAGATCACCCAGCGTGGGCTTTGATCTGCTTCTACTTCCTCTTCCTCGGGTGCCTGAGGACTGGCCTCGTAACCGGACCAGGCTCCTTTCTGCAAAGTTAAATGCTCCCTGTTCCTCATGTGGCCTGGTTGTCAGACCCTCGTCATCCAGGACACTTTCCTCCGGATGCCCTGAGGTTGGTCCCTGTTCTCTACAAAGGGGCCACCCAGAATGGTCACTGAGTAAAGCGGGCCCGGGCTCCTTTGATCCAAATGCCACAGGTTGGGAGTAGATGACAGTGGTGAAGTGCTGGGGTCCAGCCCCAGCGGTCCAGGGGTTCCCAAAGGTGTGGACAGAGTCGGCGAAGAATGTTTTACACTCAGCTCCCCACAGTGAAGGGCTCAGGTTGTAATGTACTGATCCTAGTTCTACTACTTACTAGTTATGTAATCTTATGCAAATTACTCAATCTCTCTGTGCCTAGCCTTCTCATCTGAAAAATAGGAGTGGTGCCAATCATTCCGTACTCGTGATATTGTTACAGGGATTGAGATAAAACTGTGAAACACACATAACTGTGCCTGGCACATAATAAGCTCCATATAAATGTCTATTAAAAGGCCTGCCCTTATCTCTGCAACCCCTGTCTGCTCCGGAGCAGCTACTTCACACTATGTGTAGTTCATTCAGAACTTGGTGGGCCAGTGAAACACCCAGGGTTTCTCTCTCACATGAAGTGCTACTGACCAGGGCCACTTCTTCCTTTACTTAAAAATATTTTTTAATTAAATCTATTGGGGTGACACTGGTCAATAAAACCATATAGGTTTCGCCTAGTCAGTGTGGCTCAGTGGTAGAGCATCGACCTATGAACCAGGAGGTCACAGTTTGATTCCAGGTCAGGGCACATGCCCAGTTTGCAGGCTCAATCCCCAGTAGGGAGTGTGCAGGAGGCTGCCCATCAATGATTCTCTCTCATCATCAACGTTTCTATCTCTCTCTCCCTCTCCCTTCCTCTCTGAAAGCAATAAAATCTTTTAAAAAACCATACAGACTTCAAGTATACAACTCTATACCACATGACCTGCATACTGCATGGTGCACTCACCACCCAAAGTCAAGTCTCTTTCCGCCACCAGTTAGCCCCCCTTTGCCCTCTTCCACCTCCCCCTACCCTCCTTTCACTCAGCAATCACTATACTGTTGTCAATGTGTTGTTGTTTTCCTTCTTAATCCCGTCACCCTTTTCACCCAGCCCCTTAACCCCCATTGAGTCTTGGAACCTAAATGCGGAACTAGACCTTCAACCCTAATGTGAGCTCAACATTCTAGTATTAGTGTCTCTTTGAGTCTCCTTAGCATACCCTCCTAGATTTGTAGTGGCTAAGAGGTGCAGGGAGAAGCACAGACTTCCTTTATGTCCACTCTTCTCCCACCTCATCCTTAGGGGCAGTATAAGACTTTGTCACATGCCTCTGCAAAAGCAGGACACACTTGAGATTGTCCATGAGGGGGAGGGGGTCAGTGACTTTACAGGTCCCTTACTTAGGGAACCTCTGTGAAATGTAAATAACAGCCACCCAGCTGTGAGGACCAAAGAGGACCAGGGAACCAACCTACCTACTGTGTATTAGAAAGAACCTAACTGAGCTGCTACCACACCCTTACAATAACAGGTTAAAAATAAAGGAATAAGAGATGAATTCTGACTGGCAAAATACCTCCACATCTGGGGGCCTAGAGAAATGGGGAGGAAGAAGATTACATTTTCCAGAATGTGCTGATGATATCATTTGCAAGATAAAAGATGGTGACCCCCACTGTGGGCAGAGTGGGGTTAGCCTGGGAAGATGAATGGGGCGGCCAGGATAAGTATGCATTCCCAAGCAGGGAGCAGCAGGACAAACACACAAAGGGAGGGGTTGTGGGGCTGAGGCCTCACTTCCTCCCTTCCCTGGGGCCTTTCGTTAAAAATAATAATAACAAAAGAATTAACACACAAGGACGTGGTTCATAAACAATACTTACTAGTAGCTTTGGGCACATGCAATGCACTCTGATGTTTTCTCTCCCCTTCTAATAATTTCATGTTTTTAAAAATGCTGGTGTGACTCACTACACGGATGTCATTACCCCAATGAGTCAGGACCCACACGTGAAAAGCAATGGCCATGACTGTCCCTAGCTACAGACCAGCTGGTTGCTGGAAAAGAGACAGAAGTTAGTTTGGCATAAACTGTCTTCAGAAATTCTTTCCTAGGTGGTCTCGAGCTATCTTCTTTAAGGACTGACTTTGGAATGCTGCCAAGATTTCATGTTTCCCTCTTTTGAAAAGTCTCCCGGCTCTGCTCTCATCTCGCACGCTGCTCCAAGGTTACTGCGGACGCTTTCATGCGCTAGAATGTCTGCTACTTGGGCCTTGAACAATCCAGCCCACCTGCGGGATTTGGGCTGGCCCTCCCAATTTGAAAAGAAATCGACAGAAGCTACTCTTTCTCCTGTTACCTGTTAATATCACCTCGTCTTCCACCAACACTGAAGGACCTTGCTGCTCAGAACAAAACTCTCTGTTGTGGGCAGGCACCCCAGGGGCTCATGGTGGCCTCTTGCTTTCTGGAACTCATCCTCCGTAATGCACCCCATGTGATGGACCTAAAGAGCAATAGCCTCGCAGCCCTCGTTTCCGGACCCTACTATGAACTGGGGGATTCAGCTGGGAAACTTCTTTAATTTGTAAGATTTCATGTACATATAGGAGTTCCCTTCTCTCCCCCGGAGTAGCACAGACACTGGCCCACAGCTCCCTTTGCTTTCAGAACCCTGTGGAGTGTTGTTGCCCTCGGATTAAATCCCAGGTAATGTTGGATTTTTCGTATTATCTTTGCTGTGGAAGCCTCAACGCCTCAAAACAAGTTTCTCACTGGGTGACTCTGTGTTCCGTAATTAATTACGCAGAAAGGGTGGCAGAGGGAGGAAAACGAACCCGATATTTCCCTCTCTAATCAGTAACGTGGCCTGCGGGCAGGCTCTCTGGTGCAAGCAAAATGAATTCACTGTCAAGCAGGGTTCATTCTGAGAACCCTGCCCACTGCAGGGGCGCGCGCCCGGCCAGGACACAGCGCCTTTCGCTGGAACCCGCGAGAACCCTGCGCCCAGAAGGTCTCGCAGTTGCAGGACATGACGGTGTCAGGCAGGCGGGGAGCAGAAAGTTTGCTCACCCTCCGGAGAAGGTGAGACCCGGCTCTTAGCAAAGAGGAGAAAACCCACCCAAGCCCCGAGCGCCCCTGCTTGCAGCCTGTCCTAAGCCCTCCGGCGGGAAATTCTCAGCAGCGGGCTGTGGGGAAGGTTTTAAACTTAGGCCCCACTTTCCCCTGGGCACCCTCAAACCCCGGTTCTCCGCTCCCCACTCCCATCCTCCCCCCAAAATCCCAAACTAAAAACCACCCCAAACCACATCCAGCCGACTGCCTTCGCCAGAGCCTCCAGCTCTCCACTCTGAGCCCCAGGTTGCGCGTCCCAGGGCACCCCTCCCTTCCTGGCTTACCGGACGGTGCAGGGTGCGCCCGGGCCGCCGGCGCAACTGCTCGGAGGTGCGTGAGCTCTGCCTGGACGCTTACTCCTCCTCCTCCTCCTTCTCCTCCTCCTCCGGAAGCCCGGACTGTCGGCGGCCTGGGGCTGGGAATCCCGCTGGCTCCACTGCACCGGGCGGGCGGGGACGCGCGCTCCCGACCCACCCGAGGCTGCGCAGGGTGCAGGAGCCGCCTCCCAGCCCAGGATGCCGAGGCCAAGGAGAGGTGAGCTATGCAGAGCCCTCTCCTGCTAAAGCCGCCCCCACTCTCAGTCTAACCAGACCCTGCTGGTTAGAAAGGAACAGAAGTCTGAGAATATTCTTTATCACCCACCCTGGCTCCTCAGTGGGTCTCTTGGGCCAATTTTGAGTAACGGAGGTGAGCGAGAGGGCGGGGCCAGCATGAATAAGATCAATGAAAAATCCTTAGCATTGGGTGCAAGTTCAGTTAAGGGCAGGGCCCTCCATCATGTGGCACTTAAATTACTACCTCAGTTTTCCTTCTCCTCCTGCTTCCTGGTACATGCAGGTGTCAGATGTCCCCCAAACAGGGCCCCGGATAGGAGGGGGCCAGAAGTACATTCAAGTTAGCAGACATGGCTCACTCCTCACTCCCAGTCAATAGTTACTGAGTCCATATTCCATGCCAGACACGGATCTGGGCCCTCGGGATACAGCCTCCTGGAGCATATATTCTAGGGGAGAGACAGGAATAAACATAACGAATAAGTAAAATATGTAGTGTGTGAAACAGCCCCAAGTGCTGTAGGGAAAAATAACGCAGGCAGCGGGTAGAGAATGTGGATGGCCTGAGAGCAGCTTTGAATCAGGTTGCCTGAGGTGGCCCCCCAGGGAGGAGGGCTTTTGAGTAAACAACTGAAGAGGAGTGTGCAAGTCACTCTGGTCCTGGGGAGAAAGTGTTCTGCCCCTGAGTTGTTCTTTATTGTATAGGACATTTCTTTCACTACTCATGGGCACTGTGTCAGGCAGTATTATCACCATTTTCATTTCACAGACGAGGAAACGATGGTTTGGAGAGGTTTAAAGAATTGTGCGAGGTCACATGTTAGTAAATGGAGGAGTTTGCCTTCAAGCTCAGCAAGACTGGGCCCCAGACCCTGGCTTAACCAGATCAGATTGCAGTGGGGAAAATACAGCAAAAGCAGCACCCAGGCGGCGGTCAATGGTAAGATTCACTCAGTCTCCCGGGGCCAGAAAAGGATTCCTAGAGATGACATTGTATTCATTGACATTTTTTTTTAAAGATCTGTGTCATCATTACATGTAAAATGAAAGTTTGCAAACCATCTGTACAACTGTGTGCAAACACCTCAGCCTCATTCACAGGCAGTTTGATTCTAGATGAAATCATTTGACCATCTGTGATGAGACTCGTTAGTCCTTCCCTAATTCTCCAGTTGCATATTCCGTTCATCTGAATGGGATCCATCACCATGGAGTAGAGCCTGGATGGTAGGTCAGCAGGGCATGGTGAAGCTGGTCAGAGAGAGCAGAGTGACAGAATGAATGAAAGCATGAGTAAACAGAATGAAATCTTGCCATTGTGACAACATGGATAGACCTGGAGGGCATTATGCTAAGTGAAATAAATCAGAGAAAGACAAATAGCATTTGATTTCACTTATATGTGGAATCTTAAAAAAAAAACACTAAAAAAATAAACAAAACAGACCCACAGATATAGAGAATAAGCTGATGTTTGCCAAAGGGAAGAGGGGTAGGAGACGGGAATTTTATTTTTAAACAGGAGAGAGAGAGAGCAGAGCTACAGAACTGCTGCTGCTGCTGAAAGGCCAGTCTCTGCCTGAGCTGTCAGAGTCAGGGCCTGTCTCGGGCAGAGTGCCAATGGCTCCTGAGGCAGAGGACAGGGCACATTGTACTACATGGAAAAAGCCACTAACCAGCAGCTTCAGAGGCTGACACCGCAGCACCCAGTGGGAGCAACCTCATCAGTAGGATGGCAGAGCGCCATTTCTCCCCTGGGTATCTGCCTCCCCACGCTGCATCCATTTCCTTCTTCCTTTCCCGGTGCCAGCAACATCTTCCCATCTTCCCTTCAAGGCCCATCTCAAAGGCCTCTTTTTCCAGGAAGCCTTCCTCACTGCCCAGCTACAAATGAACTCTTACTCTAAAATCTGATACCTCTCCATGGCACTCTTCATTTTAGAGTATAACTCTAAAATAGGCTCCTCCTATTTCTCCAGAGCCAGCTTCATATTTAATTTCTCCACAGGTCTTAGCTTAATGCTATGCACCCAGTGGACATTTAATAAGTATTTTTGTTAATAAATTAATCTAGAAGAACACAGCTTCACTGTCCCTTAATTTTATCTTTTCATTCCAAAATAGCTTCCAAGCTCAGAGATATTTAGTGATAGGACTGAGCTACCTGGTATATGTAGCTAGATTTTCGTCAATAGAAATTGACAACGGGTTTACTTTGAGATAAATTGTATTTGTCCCATTCTGAAATTGGAAAACTGAGGTTTAAGAGTCATTCCCCCAAGATCACCATACCAGTCAATGATAGAGCCAGGACTTAACCCCAGGACCATTTGACTCCAAAGTGGGTGCTCTTCACCACAGTCTCATGTGGCACCTCATTCAATCATTCAGTCATGCATGTATTCATTTGAGCTTTCAACAAATATTTAAATTTACCGAGTTCAGCCCTGCACCAGCCATTGTGAAAATACCAATGATTAAAACACAGTTCTTGGGGAATTTGAGGAAGGTGGTGAAAAGGTGCAAACTGCCAGTTATAAGTAAGTACTAGGGATGTAATGTACAATGTGATGACTATAGCTAACACTGCTGTGTGATACATAGGAAAGTTATTGAGAGAGTAAATCCTGAGTTCTCTTTACAAGAAAAAAAAACATTTTTTTCTTGCTTTGTTTTTTCTTTTTATTGTAGATATGTGAGATGATGGATGCTAACTAAACTTATGGTGGTAATCATTTCACAACATATGTAAGTCAGTCCATTATGCTAACTTAAACTTTTACAGTGACATATGTCCATTGTGTCTCAATAAAACTTGGAAAAAAACATAGTTCTTGCATGCAAAGTTGCTTGCAATCTAGTAGAAGGGACTAAAAAGTTAGTAAATAATCACACTCCAATGTTATGCATCTTATAAAAGAGATGCATAGAGGCCTGAAAGAGCACTTGGTTTTACCTAGGATGATGGGGAAGTAGGAAACAGCACTAAGGATTCACTGAGAAGATGGAATGTAATTTTAATTTGGAAGGAGATAAGTAGTTTGTTATAATGATAATGAAGAAAAGCAAATGGTAGGCAGAGTAAAAATCAAAAGAAAAGGCATGGAAGCATGAAAGAAAACAATGCATTCAGAGAAAACTATAATAATTCAGGAGGCCGCAGCACGGTGAGAGTGGTATTGAGATAAGGCTGGAAAGGTAAGTGGAACCAAACCACAAAGGGTCCATAAATGAGCTTTGTGGAGTCTATTACCCTCTGAAAATTTATACAATTATGGATGTTATTATGAATGGCAACTTTTCACAGGAGAGGTTGGATCATTTTAGTCAGATTCTCAAAGGCGCTGACTGACCCAGGGCCAGGAGGTGGGAAAGAGATTTTCCCTTGCCACAGCCACAGCGCAACCCATGAACCACAGGTAACCCCCCAATGGATTGCAACACCTGCCAGGATGCACTGGATCCTTGGGAGTAGGTGCAATACATGGCCCTGCCAAATCACCTCCTAATGTGAAGTGTCACATCCAGCAAGGATGGCTGGATCCCAACCTTCGCAGCATCTGCACCAGGATTCTCTCTAAGGGCAGAAGGAGAGGATAGTTGGGCAGCCGGCAGGCCGGGAGGCAGAGTACTGGCAAATGAGACCATGTCCCAGGAAAGCAGCAGAAAACAGGACCATAGTGAGCCAAGACTGTAAGCCCTCAGTGCACGCTCCATTGTCCCACCAGACTTCACTTACTATTATGGGTTGAATTGTGTTCCCCAAATTCCTGTGTTGAACTCCTAATCCTTAGTACCTCGAAGTCTGACTGTATTTGGAGACAGGGCCTTTAAAGAGGTTATTAAGATTAGATCAGGACATATGAGTGGGCCCTAATCCAATCTGAGCAATATCCTTATAAGAGGAGATTAGGACACAGATACAGGAGCACTCATGGGCAGAGGATAACCATGTGGAGAGGCAGCAAGAGGACAGCCATCTGCAAGCCAAGGAGAGAGACCTGGAACAGGTCCTTCTCTTACAGCCCACAGAGGAAACAGCTCTGCTGGAACCTTAATCTTGGACTTCCAGTCTCCAGAACTGAGAAAATAAATTTATGTTGCTCAAGCCACCTAGTCGACGGTATTTTGTTATGGCAGAACCAGCAAACTAATGCATTTACAAAACACAAATTCAAAGTAAAAAATAACATTTTTAAGAATTTGAATATGGTAACCACAGAGTATAAACTATCAAATGAGGGCCCTCTGAAGCAGGGGTCCCGTGGGTCCCCTGCATGGGTCGTGTGCGCGTGAGCCAGGTCTTGGGAATATGGGCATGGCAATTTGAAAACAACTTGGAATTCATTACTGGAGAGATGTGTGGAAGCTGTGGGAATGGGGAAAATAGCTCCATGAGAACATGAAGTGAAAAGACAAGAGAAGGAGGTTGATATCAGAAGCTTGGAACATGAACTTACAAGGAAGACAGTTAGAGAAATAGAAGGTGAACAAGAGAAAGTAGAACCTGATGAGAAATGGACAATAGTGTCTAAGAGTCAAGGTCATGATTAAGAACTGACACCCATTGGCTTTTGCTTGGAGGTCATGTGGTAGGAACCGAGGCCAGATTGCTGCTGGTTAAGGCGTATGGCTGTAATTAGAGGCTACTTTAAGGAGGAGGCTGCAGAGGGGAAATGTAGTGGGACTGCTGAGGACTTTTGTGCAAGCCTGTGAAAGCCCAAGGGACTAGATCCAGCCCACATTCTATCACCAAGGCCATGTCAGCCTACAGGAAGGCTGATGGAAGGTCTTCTAACAAAGGCTCTAACTGTCCTGGCCTTGAGCAACAGAGCTGCAGTGGAGTCTTTGTTGTTTGCATACTGAT